GACCAAATTTCCTTAAACTTAGACTGAAGTAGTTTTGGGTGGACCCCTTCAAACTGGCCAAGCTTCATTGAAATCGGTGAGATGGCCTGTGCCACCCCCGCCTGGTCCTATCGTGGATGCACTCTTAAATTCTAGAAAGCATCTTGTGTATCATTAAATAATAGTATGTGTTCCTTTTTCAATTATAAATTTACCATTTAATAACAGCAAAGTGTTTAAGTACAAAATTGTAAAATAGAAATTTTTGAGTGCACGTCTAGAGCGACACTCTTTCGAAGGAAGCTTTCTATAATATATCAGAAGATTAATGAAGAAAACCTCAAGACAGTCAGTCCAAGACAGTACAAGACCTTTAGCCTGTAGGAGACAATTTATTCTGGTTGTGTCTTAATAAAGCAGCTGACAAAGAAAAATGTATGCCTTTTACAACATTGTTCAAACAACAAACCTAATGATGGCTTAAGACGTTCTCACAGCTCTGTGTGATAATGCATCTGTCGGAGGCAGAGAATGTTTTCAAGACGAGTTATGGTTTTATTGGTAGATGTGTCCCCTGCATCCCCCCACAAAATGTATGATCACCCAGATGCAAGATCATTGAGCAACACAAGTATCAGATTAACGAGGCTGCAGTCAAATGAAATGTGTTTCATTTTGTCAAAAGATCAGAAAATCTTCATTCGTTCAGGGTAAATAATCAGTGGAGAGACAAAAAAGGCACGTGACAAATTTTGGATTTCAGATTTACTTTTTTTTTCTACCACCAGTTTAAACTGAGAACAGTTTGAATAAGGTCAGTGCCCGGGAAATCCATGGCAACGATACCAAAGCAAGGTCGGGGCTGGTTGGGGTAAAACTGTCTCAGGTACTGGTTGAGCCATGGGTTCACCTTTTCAGCCACTCTCTTTGGGGTCAGAAACATTCCCCAGAAGGTACCGAAGCCGGTGCCGCTCGTGTAGGTCAACACAGCGTTATCACCCCCGCAGGCCTCGGTGGCTTCGTTCAGTTGTTTGATTATTGTGTTGTCTTTATCTTTAATGTGACTAACCTTATCACTGCCCTTACCAATCGTGTTTATGAGGGGGATTCCAAGTGTGAAGGTGTTTTTCTGCAAAAAGACGATTTTGCCCCTGACCTGGCCCATATTTGGCATTCCAGAGCTCACCCACACATTATGGTCATTACCAATCAGACTCTGCACCATCTCATTGACTGTTTTCTTCTCAAAAGACTCCGGTTGCACCCTAATGAGCACAGCCTCGGTCTTAAACTCTGACAGGAAGGATCCAACAGTGTCCAGAACGTCCTTGAAGGTGCTGTGCTGGTACATCACCCCGTGCATGACGTACAGGGTGTCGCCCAGCGCAAACACTTTGAGATCCAGAAAGCGAATCCCGGCCCTCAGCTGATCCATCAGGGACAAGACCTGGCATTCGGCCTCCGGGCCTCCGTACAGAGCCATGCTGTCATGGGTGCCGGGGATTGTGATGAGTGACAGAGTGCGGAAATTCTCAATGCCTGCCATCCACGGAATATTGTACGACCCTGGGAGGACGAGGTTTTTATTGTCGTTGAAGTAGAGGTCTTTGCCATGGCACAAAAATCTGAAGATTTAGAAGATTGTGAGATGTTAAATAAACTCCAAAACCAACAACACTCCAAAAGAACGAACATTTGGGCTCTACAGAAAGAATTAACATAACATTAGGGATGTCCCAATGAAGCTGTATTTTCTTTTTGCTCCTGATGCAAGTCATTTAATATTTAGTAGACAATACACAGTTCAGATATTGTAGATTTGCTGTAGTACGTGGCAGTTCCACCAGGTGAAGCCTCCTCCTCTATAATACTGAAGTGATCAGAGAAGGTGGGCAGTTGTGGGGGTGTATCTTGTAAATGGGCACCAAGTCGTCTGTGATGTTTAATCCTTTCTGGGGTGAGTGACCATATTTGGTAATCAATCAATCAATCAAACTTTATTTATAGAGCACTTTTCATACATGACATGCATCACAAAGTGCTGTACATTACAGAACACAATCAGGAAAGGGTCAGGGGATACAAAATACAATACAAAACCCCATCCACCCTCCCAGCACACATTTAACACAGAATGCAACTCATGCACACACACACACACACACACTCACACACAGGGACACCAAGTCAGGTCAAGTTGGTAACTTCCTTGGACGTTCCATATGTCCACCCTGTGCCTCTCCTTGAGGTTGAAGAACCACGAGTACTTTGATTTAGTTTTTATATTTGTGCCAGTATCACTACCTTACGAAAAATGTCCCCCCAAAAAATGTTCCAGGCACTTTATAAACGCTTTGTTGCTGTTTTGTATTGAACTCCACTTTGATTTATTTTTTGAGATTAGTGCCAATACCACTACCCCAAGAAAAATGTTACTAAATGAACTTGCCAAGCACTTTATAAATACATTGTTACTAGTTGTGTAAGTATCATTTCATCAAACTAAAATGTTTCTAAATAAATGTTGTTGCTTTTTTGCAGTTTATTTTTTCTTTTATTTATTATAAAATCCCCTTTTTTTTTGTGAAACTGTATACGGGCAAGTTACCATATATGGTAACTTTATTCATCTTGATTTGCAACATTTTTTTTTTTTTAAGTCACAAAAGTAAAACATCTTGAAATATCCTTCAGTAACACCCTAGGGTTGAAATTTTCATTTCCCAAGTATTTCAAGGCATGACCTTTAAAGGGTTTTTGAGCTCAGGCCGGCATCCAAATAGAAAATGTATCTGAAACTGTTTGGTATTCTTTTGTAAGAGTAAGATTTCATCTTTGCATTCATAATTTTGTGTAATTCGTGAGATTAGACTCAAACGAGGGCTGCAGGGTGGCGCAGTTGGTAGCACTGTTGCCTCACAGCAAGAAGGTTGCCGGTTCGCATCGTGGAGTTTGCATGTTCTCCCCGTGCAGCGTGGGTTCTCTCCGGGTTCTCCGGCTTCCTCCCACACAGTCCAAAAACATGTTGAGGTTAATTGGTGATTCTAAATTGTCCGTAGGTGTGAATGTGAGTGTGCTTGATTGTCTGTCTGCATGGTTGTTCCCTGCGATGCACTGGTGACCTGTCCAGGGTGTCCCCTGCCTTCACCCTAAGTCAGCTGGGATAGGCTCCAGCCCCCCACGACCCTAGTGAGGATTAAGCGGTGTATAGATAATGGATGGATGGAGATTCAAATGAAGAATTGAGTGAAGGTTGGTTGCAAACACTTTTCTTTAAGAAGGGACTCATGAATTTGTCACATATTAATGAAACTACCTTTAACTAATGAACTCCATGGAGTAGGAACACTTGCAGCTACTTAACAATTCAAAGTATATTTAATTACCACTTACTTGGTGATGGTAGCATAATCAAATGTTTTTATTTTGATTGTTTAGAAAATATTAGCTTGTTCCAACAAGTTTTCCAACTTTATTGAAAGGATTTTTGTAATTGACACTCTAAATTACCAAAGTAATAGATTTAAAACAAAATAGATTTTCTTAAGGGCTGCAAGGTGGCACAGTTGGTTAGCACTGTTGCCTCGCAGCAAGACAGTCGGGGCACTGCAATCTTTCTGCGTGGAGTTTGCACGTTCTCCCTGTGCAGCGTGGGTTCTCTCTGGGTTCTCTGGCTTCCTCCCACAAGTCCAAAAACATCCATCCATCCATTATCTATACAACGCTTAATCCTCACTAGGGTCGCGGGAGGGCTGGAGCCTATCCCAGCCGATTTAGGACGAAGGCAGGGGACACCCTGGACAGGTCGCCAGTCTATCGCAGGGCCACACGTAGAGACAGACAACCAAGAACACTCACATTAGTCCAAAAACATGTTGAGGTTAATTAGTAATTCTAAATTGTCTGTAGGTGTGAATGTGAGTGTGCTTGATTGTCTGTCTGCATGGTTGTTGTCTGCGATAGACTGGCGACCTGTCCAGGGTGTCCCCTGCCTTCGCCCTAAGTCGGCTGGGATGGATGGATGGATGGAGGTTTCCTTAGTTAAATTTTTTTCATATTTTTATGTTTTTGTTCATGAAGTTGCTTTTAAGAAATGAATCAATTTCACAAGAAAATGTCGAGGCAATTACTTATTTATATTTTGAACTGGACTTGTGTATTTGAACACAGACCATTCTGAATCAGGAAATGTCACCTTGAAATCTCGGACCGTTTCACGATGACAAGCAGAGAGCATTGTAGGAGTTTAGCTATGACTACTTCTCTTTGGCTCAACTGACTTAATTAAAATCTTGACCTCGTGGTTAAAAAAAAAGACACGTTAATGTAAATGTTTGTCTAAATCAACAACAATGCACTAAATTAGCCTGTGAAAATAGGTACTCTGCATTACTTTTTGAAGGGAGGCTGCAGGTTAAAGGCAATGAATACTTATATTTTGCTAGTCATTTTATACTTACGTGGCACAAAGCAGGATGAAGTGGAGGAGCAGAGACTTGTGAGCAGCCGCCATTCTTTCAGAAATGAGAGCAATCTAGCAAGTGATTTAAGAAACACTTAAATTACTGTAAAACAAACAAACAAAAAACAAACAGAAGTGTACTGTTTTTCCAAAATTAATGATGACAGTTAACAGCAAACTACTGATGAAATCAAGTTTAAGCAGTTCACAAAGCACTGCTTGCACTTGGTTTACTTAATTATGTCTAATTATTGTTCTTAGTTTCTATTACATATTTAATATACTACAATTTGTGACACATTGCTGCGATTGACTAAATGTTCACAATTCATAAAGATGCCTTTTAACCTTTATTGTTTTAAGTGTTTTAGTCGTTTATGCCTTTTAAATGTTACATGGAGTTGTCAATTATTAAATATTTAAGACACATCCCACAACCAGGAACTTTCAAGGAACATTCAGAGAACCTTCAGGGAATGCTCTTGTTGCCTGGGATTGTTATTTATGGTAAATATCCGCATTTAACAGTAGTTTCTTTACATTTTAAAAGACAAAAAATGTGCCTGTCCCAGCCGGCTTAAAACCATCTTTTTTTTTTTTTTTTTTTTTTTTAATGAAAATGTAATTAAATATAATTATATAAATTTAAATATTTATATAAATATAAATATAATGTAAATTTACATAAAGAATTTTGTAAGAAAATGTCAAAATACTGTCAGAAAACTAGTAATTCAATTTCAAATTGCAGGAATCTACAGTTGATATTAGTTTAGTGTAGTGCGAGTTTTTATATCTAACTTTACATAAACATCTTGTATATTTGAAATATCTTTAAAGCTAAATAAGTATTTACACCTTTAAAATTTGTGAATTTACCTCTGAAAGAAGCAAAACTGCGATTATTGCACAAATACATTTACAATATTTATTGTGATAAAAAGCTTATTTTAAATCATACCAAGCATAATATGATTTTTAAAAATATTATTGAAATGTAACTTTGCCATAAACAAACATTTCTATGTTACATTGTTTGAGTGAAGTTTTGCATTTATCTCAAGAACAGACCTCATTTCAAATGAAAGACATGCACACATAGATTCATTATCCGGTGACTTGGAAGAGTTTTCTACTTTACCTTGCAGCCAGGAGGATTCAGCAGCAAACCACTCCAACGGTCTGAACACAGGACGAAAAAATTCCTAATTTATATCTCCTGCTTATCTGAAACATTTGAGGCGTGGAGCACAAATATCAGTCAACTGATATCGACTGGTTGCTCCTGATGGAGGGTGATGTTTGTGCAGATTGTGGTGTTTGAGAAGGCAAGGGCTTTAACTGGAAAAATAAATGAGGTCAGATTAGATCTGGAAATGTCAAGCAGCCACACCTGTGCAGTGGCTGAAAAGATCACTGAAGGCAGCCAGAATGTGTCGTAGCAATGTTTGCCAACAGCTCTCGCAAAATGAAAGCTTTTGATAAAACAAAAGGGGGGCATAAGTCAAGGGCGTCAGTCTGTGTTGAAAATTTTTGGTCTCAGATTGAAAATTAAAATTAAATTATCTTCAACATGTGCAATCTTAAGCAGAGCTGGACCTGAGATTTTGGTGGCCTGAACATGATTTTGCACTAAAGTCCTACCAGTGAAACCACAAAACCAAAGACAATGATCTCAGGTCAAGTCAGGTCATCATTGAAAAACAATAAAAATAAAGTATATTAAAAACAGCTGCTTCCCAAAAGTTCTTTCCAATAAAAAAAAGGTCACAAAGAAACATAACAAGTTTAAATATTTGGGTTAAGACCGTGTAGTGTTGATACTGGTGTGATTTGAACTGTTCATATACAACATCATCATCCCACAGCAGCTAGTGGAAAAGCTTCAGCTGCTAAAGGTAGACAACAGTATCTGTAACTGGGTCTACAACTTCTTGACTTAGCAACAGCAGACAGGGTGGGCAGCCACATCAGAAGACCATCAGAGTGAGCCCTGCTTGAGTTCATGGTGCAGTTCCCATAACCTCGTCCTCAATGTGGACAAGACCAGTGAGGTTGTTCTTGACTTCAGGAGGGCTGGCAAACAGGATCATGCACCACTAATCATCGACAGGACTGCTGTGAAGAAGGTCAGCAGTGTGAAGTACTTGGGGGTTCACAGTGATGATAACCTCACTCCAACAGTAACACCTCAGCAGTCCTCAGAAAAGCTCAGCAGCAGCTTCACTCCCTCTGCAGACTCAGGAAAGCAGGCCTTCCCATCACACACCTCACCACCTTCTACAGGGGCACCGTTGAAAGCATCCTGACCTATGGCTTCACCACCTGGTTCGGATGCTGTTGCGCCAAGCACAGAAAGCGGCTAAACAGACTGGTCAAGACAGTCAGCAAAATCATTGGTGGCCCACTCCCCTGCCTGATGGAGCTATACCAGCAGTGCTCCATCAGTAGAGCCACCTCCATCATCATGGACCGCTCCACCCCTCCCACCACATCTTCTCCCTTTTGCATCAGGTTGGAGATACCGCAGCATTAGCTGCAAAACTAGCTGGAAGCTGAATAGCTTCTTTCCCCAGGCTGCAAGACTTATAAATGGACTGTCCCCCATCCCCACATACACACCCACACTCACCTTTGACAGGTAGTCACCTGTCAAGCCAAGAGACTTATGCACTTTGAGAGATTGGATTGTATTTTATCTGATTGTGTGACTATTTATTAGTTTATTGTGATGTTTAGATTTTATTATGATGTATAACATTTTAGTGATGTTTCCATTGAATTGCAGTCACTGATTGAGAAACGACTGAGAAATTCTTTCTCTTGTATATGAAAATGTACAGAAAAATGACAATAAAATCTTTGAACCTTGAACCTTGAGTAAAATACATATGTGAGATTAAAATCCCACCAAAACTGCATAAAATATTCATTTACATGACTTCAGCACATATTAAAGCAGATACCCTACAATGTAATAAAAATCAGAAATTAAACAAACTAATTTAAATATTAAGGGTCAGACACTAAACTGAAAAAAAAAATCAATAAAATAATCTGTCAAAAAAAAATGGCAGCAAGTGTGCCAGAAAACACGATAGAATGCTGTCAAAAACTGTTAAATCTGTGTAAACAACTGCAAGTATCTGTAAAATAATTATTATATGTAAATTATATGTAAATACAAATAAGTCAGGAAATGGGGTTTTGGACTGTGATGTTTTTAATCCATCTTCTGTTGCTTTCCACCAGAGGGCGTCCTGGAGAACTCCTGCTGTGCTAGGGCTCATTCCCTGCAGGTGTGTTCTCCACAAACCTGCAATTCATCAGGCTCATTACTCCGTGGATAAAAGGAGCTGGTTGCCAGTTACTCATTGCTTGAGTGTCAACCTATGTGGTTGATGTCAAGTCTCCTCCCGAGTTTTCCTCGTGCTTCTTCCTGAGCCTACGAATAATTGTTTTTCTCCTTCTCCGAAGGTTTTTCCTGTGTACCCGCTCGGCTCTGGTCAGGTTGTGGGGAACCACATGCCCTCACATGTGGTTCCCCACAACCTACCTGCGCCAGACCCGAGTTTTCTCCGTGACTTCCTGGATCATCTGTTCAAGACTGGTGACGCTCCTGCCTCTCACTCACTCCACTGTTTGACCACCGTACCATCCGTCTGCCCAAGCCGTCTACAACCCACATCGACGTCCCCACCTGGATCAAGCTCATCGTTGCACATTACCAACCTCTGCAAGAAACATGATTTTTCCAAACTCCGTTTCTTCACAGTGTTACTCTGCATGTGGGTCAGAAACCTCAACAAAACCATGACAATATATATATTATCAGATTTGTAAAACACTGTTATTTTATGGTCAAATACTGTGAAAGAAAAAATGACTAATTGTAAAAATACAGATTTTTTTGTCAGTGGACATTATGTACTCGTTGGATGCGTTACTGGTCCATTTGTTAGTTTTTACATAAGCAGTATTTTATTGCCACTGCATATTGGAATGTAGCTGACTGTAGCTATTTTATATACTTTTGAGTCATTTTCTGAAAACTGAGCATCATAACATATACAAACTGATTTTTTTTTTTAAAAATATATATATATTAAGCAACTGTATTGACAAAGTAGTGCAGTCAGTGTTGTGTAGTGAAAGTGAAGCTTATTAAACTTGAATAAAACAGAGCTTTTTTTAAAGCTAAAAATTTTATTTTTAAAAACATCAAGACACTGTTATTCAATTTGAACTTGCAAGAATCTTCAGCTGATATTAGTGTAATATGAGTTTTCACATGTAACTTTACATAAAAATCCATTTTATGCTATTTTACATTAGACTTGTAAGTTCAATTATATTTTTGTAGGTTATTGATTTTTTGTGTTTGTTTTTTTTAAACAAAAATGCAGAAATAAAAAATTATTTTAAGATTTTGTTTTTTCTTTAGAGTGCAACCGCCAGTGTTTTAAAGGAATATTACAGGACAGTTTGTTACAGTGAAAGAAAAGTTCTGCACTTATCTCAAGAAAATGTAAGCTTTATAAAACTGGAATAAAGAGATCAAAATAGGAACAAAAGTCATTTAAAAACCTCAGCAATTTAGAACTTGATCCTAGAAACGGAGAGTTGCTGTTCCACTGAGCAGCGGTGGGTGGCAGCAGAGCGCCGGTGCAGCATCAACTCTGCGGCAAAACGCAAGGAAGACGACGGAGAAGTAAAGATGGCTGACAACAGCTACACGGAGGAAGCAAAAGTGGATAAAAATGTTGCTTCTGGGGAATCTGTGATGGTAGTCACCATGGAAACGACCATAAGAGATAAGAAAATTGCGATTTCGAAGGATTCTTCTGTCGTCCAGGTGCGCTTACTGACTTTTCCAGCACCTGACGTTCATTGTGCGAGCCGCAGCTGGCTAGCTTTAGCAGATGATGCCCGAATTTACTGGTAAACGTTATTTGCATGCTAACTTTTAGTTCAGAACGTAAGCTTGTTCCAGATCAACTGGCGATCAGATCAACTGGCGACACTAGCGTTTATGAGACAGATGTTTCGTA